GCTTAACTACACATTAGGGAATGAGTACATAGGTTTTAGATAGCACTTCCCCAAGAAATCAATGGGTTGTGTCAAATATTGAGGATGGGGTTTAGCTCTCCACCATCTTAGAACTCTACCAGACACTAGTGATTTTATTCATACTTAATGTTGAATTATATATTCATAAAGTAAGGGAAAGCTTTATCTATCCTTAAAATTTTTTAGATAGTAAGTATGGGTGTACCTAAATAGAATGTCGCATACAGTGTTAAATTATGGTGCAAAAAATATATAGCAAAAGTGTAAAAAGAAAAAAAAAAGACTTGGTTCATAAAGGGTGAATAATCCTGTATATTTTCTGTAAAAATAGTTTGGTACATTCGGCATACATGCATAAACTATTTCGAATATAGATATGAGCGCATATAGACAGTTATTTTGATTAACATGCAGTCGTCAAGTTTGGACTGGCCCCTGGGTACAAAGACCAGACATCTGGTTCACTGCTGGGTTGGTACATGAAAATGTGATGTTACATATTCACGTAGACACACAAAAGCATTTGCATTGTTTTTTCAAAATATTAACTATACATCTACCTAAGGCGTTAAAAATAGAGGGTAGTTTTTATCCCATAGTTTTCCTTTAAAGTCTGTGTTTTTTACACTTGCATGATGGTGCATATCTCAGGAAGTAGGAGGATTCTGGGAGCATATAGCATGGTCTATCGCATATTCAGGATGCCTTCCATCTTGGAAACGTTTTTGTGTCTGATCTTACATACGCCATTGTGACATTATAGCAAAATATCCTTTATAATATGTACAAAAATATAATGTAAATCAATGTCGGTTATTTTATCTAAAATGAAACTGGGATTTTGAGTTAATAAAAACAAAATCAGTTATTTGAAAGAGCTCATCTGTTCATTCATGATCACATTTCTGAATCTCAATCTTTTCCATCTGCACTGTTCTAAATATAGAATGCTTCCTGGGAATATTATCCTCAGGACAATCAAAATATCTGAACATTCGACACAGCCAGCATGGATGTTATGACATTAAAAAACACAGATATTATTTTTTTAAATAGAGAAAATTACATCAGTTATGTGTTTTAAACAGAAAGCTGACATCCTGAAACCAAAAAAGGTATTTTTTTAAAACTATATGCCAAATGTAATCAATGATGGAGATCTATATAATATATAATATAAAATAACAATATACCGCAGGTATTCACAAAATATTCACCATGTACAGGCACATTGGCCCACCTTGAAAATCACACATTAATTTTGGGGAAGGGTAATGGAAATATTTATCTAACCAACACTGCAAGTTTTACATTCCAAACATATCTTAAAACAGCACTGTTACCCCCTTCCACCTGAAAAAATTGTATTTCATAAAGGTAGAATCTTTATGAAATACTAATTTTGTCTGTGTTGGAATTTCACTGAAACTTAGTCAAGAGATAGACATCTACCTAAGGAACTACTTTGTCTATGTATATTTCCTCTGCCTGACTTTCCTAGACCCAGGGTGGAACTACAATGTCAATCCCAACAGCCATCAGGGAATTGGCTCTGTCTATGGAAGATCCCTTGGTCTCTCAG